TGCTGGGGTGAATGTCAGGACGGGTTTCCCTTCACTTAGCTCCTGCACAAGTGTGGTCTCTTGTCTGTCCCACTTCTGCAGTTTGCCTCCATCCAGTGTCACAGTGGGCCTGACTTTCCTGCCATCTGCTCTTGTCGTATGGAACTCCACCCCCAGCTTCAGGTTGACCTCCATGTTCTTGAAGATGCTCTGTGTTTTCAGGGTGATAGTATCCCCATTCTTATTTATGACTGTGGTAGGCTTGATCATACTAGCCACTTGCTTGGTAGCAGAACCCACCCCGATTGACCCCACGTGGTCATTGACATTCTTGCTTTGCACTAGTTTCCAGGTGCATAGGAAAGTGTCCACCCTAGTGATGCTGGGCTGGCTGAGAGCAGGCGTGCAAGGACTCTGGACCCCCTTCCTGGCATTTTCTTCTTTTTTCTTGAGACAGAGTCTTGAGCTGTTGTCCTGGGTAGAGTGCCCTAACGTTAAAGCTCACAGCAACCTCTAACTCTTGGGCTCAGGCAATCCCCTGGCCTCTGTTTTTTCTATTTTTAGTAGGGATGGGGGTCTTGCTCTTGCTCCGGCTGGTCTTGACCTCTTAAGCTCAAGCGATCCACCTGCCTTGGCCTCCCAGAGTGCTAGGATTACAGGCGTGAGCCACCGTGCCTGGCCTTCCTGGCTTTTTTTTTTATTTCCTTTTCTCTCTTACTTGTTTCTCCAAATTGGGGAAAGTGGTACAAAATAAAGCTTAATGATCAACATAGAGATGTTACGTTAATGGTTGGAAAGAATCTGCAGATTTGAAAGTGAAAGAAAGAAGCACTGAGAGTTGAAAGTGCAGGTCAGCATTTCTAGGGTTTAGGAAAGGAGGATCTACTTAGTATAGTTTTGCTGGTAGCCATTGTCATGTGCTAAGTGTGTGCTCATGGTCCTGTCTCTTGCTAATGTGTGCAACTTTCATATTGCAAATGAAATGAATATGAATATGTTTATGAGTAGAATATACTTTATGTAAGTTCTATGAGGGTTCCAAGAAATAGTGACTTTTGATAGCAAAGTAAGTCCTTATATTGGCAGTCTTAAGACCAGGTTCTGTGTATGCTGTCACCTTGGTAGGAGGTCCAAGTGTGATGTTATTCAAATAGTCTGGTAACATATGCTGATGTTTTCCAGTTTTTTAATATCTGTGTAGGGTATAGTTCTTTGTAAATACTTTAAAACTTGCTATTTCTTATTGATTGAACACAATTTTTTAGATGTCCATAAATAGTAAACAGTGTTTGAAGTATTTTAAGAATAATTTAAGATCTTGGACATTTTGAGTTCTTGATCTATAATCCCATGTGTAAACACTAGCTGTGGGGAGACCAGTTCAGAAGCTGTCACAGTAAGGTAGAGAAGACACTGTGGGTTGGACGGGGCAGAAGCAATGGGAATAGAGAAAGCAGGTGTAATTGATATTTAGGAGGCAGAGTTGGTAGAGCTCATGGAGATAGAGTGGGGAGGTGGAAGGAGACGGGGAAGGGTGCTGCCTGAGAAGCAAGGTGAAGGATGGGGCAGCGCCCGCCATAATACCCAGCTATTTTTAGAGATGGAGTCTCACTCTTGCTCAGGCTGGTCTCAAACTCATGAGCTCAGGCAGTCTACCAGCCTCAGATTCCCAGAGTGCTAGGATTACAGGTGTGAGCCACCATGTCTGGCCTGGCACAGCCAATTATGAAGACAAAGGTGGGAGGAGGACAGGGGTTCTTGTATGTGGGGGTGGGTTGAAAGATGAAATTAGCTTTGTGTTTTATAAGCCCCATCCTGATGGAAGTGTCTAATGGGGAGTTGAAAATGGAAATAACGCGTTTTGAAGTCAGTAGCATGGAAACAAAGCAGTGGGAGAGGGCTAGGAAACCATCACTTTTGAAGTTACCAACAGTGGTAGCTGGGTGTGGCCGTGAGGGAGGACTGGCCACAGCTGTCCAGGGATGGGGTGAGGTGGCAGCTGAAAGGTGCTCCTGGGGTTTGGGGCAGCATTCAGCATTTATTGATAAAAGTTCATGACACGGTGGGAGAGAAGCCTAGTCTGCTTTATTGAGTAACAGTTGATGGGAAGGAAGGGGGTGGAAAGCACCAGGGAGAACCAGAAGTAGGAAGGAAGAGTGAGAACAGTGGCTCTTAGATGGGAGAGACAAGAGTGTTTACTTTCTCCTACCCGTTAGCAACTAATGGGGGAGAGGTTGAAGACTGGAGATAAGGAGGTCCCGAGAAGCAGGCAGGATGGGATCCCAAGATCTGGGAAGAAAAGTTTGTCTTAGACATCAGGAGGGAAGGCTGGCAGGGCACATGGGGATATAGGGAGGCTGGCAGATTTGGTGCCAGGAAGCTTAGGGACTTCTACGAAAGCTTCTATTTTCCCCTGTGAAGCCAAAAGGTGTCTTTGCCAAGGAAGAGGTGTCTGGGCAAAAGGCTTGAGGGGAATAGTGAAGAATTGAAATAACTGTTGTAGGGCCAGAAGCAGTGGTTCACACCTATAATCCCAGCATTTTGGGAGGCCAAGGTGGGAGGATTGCTTAAGGCCTGGAGTTTGAGACCAGCCTAGGCAACATATTGAGACCCTGTCTCTACAAAAAAATATAAACATTAGCTGGGTGTGGTGGCATGTGTGTGTGCGTGCAGTTCTCGCTACTCAGGAAACTGAGGCAGGAGGGTCACTGGAGGCCAGGAGTTTGAGGTTGCTGTGACCTATGATGATGCCATTGCACTCTAGTCTGGGCAACAGAGCAAGACCTATCTCAAAAAGAAAAAAAAAAACAAACCTGTTGTGGATTATAGGACAGATCCCTGAGCAGGGCCTCATAGAAAGAGCTGCCTGGCTGGCATGTGGGGTCCCGACTTCAAGGTGCTGTATGTCCACAGGGCTCTGTTATTTTTCTTCCCCATCGTTAGCAGCCTGGATATGGTTCAGTAGAGACTGGGCCTTATCAGGTTGTGGGCTTTTCCTAGGCAGCTGTGACAGATAGTGGAGCAAGGATATTGGGGACACCCCCCCCCGCCCCCGTGCTAAACAGGCAGTAGACCGTTAGGATGGAGGCAGGATTTGCAGAGAAGAGAAAGACTGTGTTGCCCAAAGTGCTTTGGTGAGTGGCAGGCTGGCAGAGGGGGCTGTGGCTTGGTGGTGGAAGCCTCAGAGGTGGGGCTGTGAAGGGAGCCGAGAGGTCCCTGCCCACAGGCAGCAGAGGGCTTCTGCTCAGTGAGGCGCAGTGCGCATGCGGGATTGGGCCTCCACCTGAGGAAGAGCTAGGTTTTACTTAAGGACAGAAGATAGAAGATATGCTTAGTGCCATAGGGCTTGTTGACTACATAATTAGGGGTTCCAGAGTGTACACACTTGAGAGGAAACAGATGGAGGAGTTTGGGTAAATGACACACAACCCCAGTGACGTTTTGGCAGCTACTGTCCCATGGGGGGTCATTAGAGGCCTGTTGTGAGTATGCTGAGGTTGGCCGAGGTTTCTGTTGGTTCAGAGCTTGACCACAGGAGCCTAGGGCAGTACAGACAGAGTGAGGGCTGCCACCCACAGTAGCCATGGGGACCGCAGGCTCCCAGGCATTGACAGACCCTCAGGGTGGGGGACTTTGGGAATTTGATTTGTTCTTTTTGTTTGCAGTTTTTGGCCGGGGCTGGGCTTGAACCCACCACCTCTGGCATATGGGGCTGGCACCCTACTCCTTTGAGCCATAGGTGCCACCCGACTTTGGGAATTTGAGAGGGCTGTGTTCTCTCCACAGTCTGATTTGCAGTTTCCTCAGGTTTTGGAGCTGTCTAAATAGTGCAGTATATCTTTTTTGCTAAGTTGAATTATATAGTTCTGGTTTTTACAGCACTCAGTTGCTTTATCCCCTTTCTCAGCTCTGTGGTGAGGATATGACACGTCATTACTTTTAACTTTGGTTCTGGTCCAGCTGGTCTCTCTACCACTCTGGCAACCCAGTATCTTTATTAACTGAGAAAGACTCCACTTTCAGTGACTCCATGTAGAACTGGCAGCTTTCCAAATGCTCCAAGAAATATTCTGTACTTAAATACACAATTCATCTGTATATTTAAATGGTGGTATCTTTTTTCCCCTAAAAATCTAAATTGATGATGGGAAAAATATGACATTTTATTCAGAGATAGGTCTTCTTTAAATATGACTACTTCTAAAATAGAATGAAGATGTGTAGATATTTATTTATTTATTTGAGACAGAGCCTCAAGCTGTCCCCCTGGGTAGAGTGCCGTGGCTTCACAGCTCACAGCAACCTCCAACTCCTGGGCTCAAGCGAGTCTCCTGCCCCAGCCTCCCAAGTAACTGGGACCACAGGTGCCCGCCACAATGCCCGGCTATTTTTTGGTTGCAGCCATCATTGTTGTTTGGCGGGTCTGGACTGGATTCGAACCTGCCACCTTAGGTGTATGTGACTGGCGCCTTATCCACTTGAGCCACAGGCACTGAGCCATGTGTAGATATTTAAAGAAAAGTATCTTTTAACTTCTTATTCTTCTACCTGTTAATGAAGGCATTGGCTCCTTAGACAGAGCAGGGTTTCAAAGAGCTGCTGTGCACTGCCCTCAGCTCCTCCATCACATTCTCTTTATGTGGCACTGGTTTTGAGACAGATGAAATGCCATGTCCAGAGATAGTTACTGTTTGTTGATAGCCAGATAGTTAAAGGCTCAGAGCCTTAGAGCCATCAAGCTCCTAGAGATCTTCTAGTTCAAGTGTGACCCCCGTTGTGTCTCTCTTTGCACTCTTAGGGATGAGGATGTTGAGTCAGGATGGTGGCGGGATCTTTTGAGTTCTGGTCCATTACACCATTATACTGACAGTATTTGGTCTCCTGCTTCTCACTCATCCACAGAGCAGTGTGAAGGAGAGCCACTGGCCAAGGTGTCGAAGTAGCTTGTTACAGAGAAGTTAATTTTATTGTAAAATTACCTAAATATTATCTAAAAAATATCTTTTTCCATTTTTAGGAAGAAGTAAGTCTAATTTGGGCTGGACACCGCTTCATCTGGCATGCTATTTTGGACATAGACAAGTGGCCCAGGATCTGTTGAAGGTCTATTTATGACTTCAGTTTCTTAATGATGCTAACAAATATTGTTATAATGGAAATTATAAGTCTTAGCCAACAGAACCATAATGGCTTATTTAAAATAATAACTCATCACTAAGGACACTTGTTTTTTATTAAAACATGATTTAAGTTGGCCTTATTAAGATTCTATTTTTAGCCATGAGGTTTTTACATTATCAGTCCTTTAAAATTAGAAACATGGGTATATTAATGAAGATATTATTTTCAGTTTTATGAGCATGGCAGTTGAAAACATAACCAAAGCATATCCTAAATAATTAAAAATAATGTCAGAATCTCTTAGCACTTAATGAGAATTGAGACCTCCTATTTCTCAGTTCTGTATGAATCATTTTTTCATTGATATTTCTGAAATTGGGGGGCATCTTATAGTCCACTGTCTATTTAGATGTTGGTATCTTTTTCCTCCTGAAAACTTATTAAATTGATGGTGGAGGAAATATGGTATTTCATTCGGAAATAGTTTTCCTTTTTCAAAATATGACTGCTTCTGAAGTATGGTTAAAAGATGTATAAACTTGTAAAGAAAAGTACCTTTTTATTTTTTATTCTTCTATCTATCAGGTAGGTTTTTACCTTTTAGGTAAAAACTTTTCTTTCTTTCTTTTTTTTTTTTTTAAGAAGATGGGATCTCTCCATATTACCCAGGATGGCCTCTTAGCTCCTGGTCTCAAGCCATCCTCCTATCTTAGCCTTTTAATATCTGGGACTATAGGTGCATGCCATCACACACAGCTTTTTGCTTTTGCTATGAGTTAAATTTGTTTTTAATTTAACAAACAAGGCCGAGACAGGTGGATTGTGTGAGGTTAGGAGTTTGAGACCAGCCTGAGCAAGTATGAGATCCCATCTCTAAAAGGAGCTGGGTGTTGTGGGTGTTGTGCCTGTAGTCCCAGTTACTCAGGAGGCTGAGATAAGAGGATCACTTCAGCCCAGGAATTGGAAGTTGCTGTGAGCTATGATGCCATGACACTCTACTGAGGGCAACTGGGTGAGACTCTGTCTCAAAAAAAACAAAAAATGACAGATACATTTAACCAAACAATATTAATGATGACCAGCTTGTGCCCGTAGCTCAGTGAGTAGGGCGCTGGCCGCAAACTCTGAAGCTGTTGAGTTGGAGCCCAGCCTGGGCCTGCTAAAGAACAATGACAACTGCAACAAAAAAATAGCTGGGCATTGTGCTGGGTGCCTGTAGTCCCAGCTACTTGGGAGGCTGAGGCAAGAAAGAGACTCTCTTAAGCCTAAGAGTTTGAGGTTGCTGTGAGCTGTGACATCACAGCACTCTACTGAGGGTGACATAGACTCTGTCTCAAAAAAAAAATGATGACCTTAATTTTTGAAATATTTAATATATTTTTAAGGAATTATTTTCACCTTTGTATATTAAAGTGTTCATGTTTACTAGGCCGGTGCAGAAGTGAATGTGTTAAACGACATGGGAGACACGCCGCTTCATCGGGCTGCCTTTACAGGACGAAAGGTGAAAACCGTTCAATGTTTGCAAAGTGAAATATTTGAAAAGAGTACTCACCCATATTATCTCTGTTACAACTCTCTGACCAGCAACTGGAGAAAGCCTCAAAGTATATCTACTGGCACTTTGGGTCAAAGGCCACAAGACTTTAGAGTCAAGTCAAGTTCTGAGATGGTGGATACTCCCACTCTGCAGCATCCCCATAGGTCATTCAGTCTCTGCTTCTGTACTCCAGCGATGGGGTACAGGTCCTTTAAAAAAAAAATAGCTTTATTGAGGTATAATTTACATTGCATAATATTCACCTATTGTAAGTGAATTATTTTACACATTATACTGGCCCCACTCATTATTTTACACACAATGATTTTTAGATCTGTAACATGGTTGTGCAGCCTTCACAGCAACCCACTTTTTAGAGCATTTCCATTATCCCAGAAAGTTCTCAGGCCTGTTTATACTCATTCCCTGCTCCTCACTCAAGCCCCAGGCTACCACTGATGTGTCTTTGGATATTTGCCTTCCCTAGAAATTTCTGATAAATGGAATCATACAAACTTTTGTGTCTGGCTTCTTTAATTGGGCATAATGTCTCTGAGGTCCATCCCTGGTATAGCATGGTCAGTAGTTTGACCCTTTTATGGCTGACTAACATTCCATTGCAAGGATATCTCACACGTTGTTACCTACTCACTGTTTTTTGAAAAGATTGTCTATCTGCAT